AAGTTGACAGTGCCATAGCTGTGGCTGYGTTATCTCTTTGTCTGAAATCACTGTGGTAATCACTGTGTCACTTAAAAATAGCCATTTTTTTAACCCTGTCTGTTTCTGAATACGCATGTTTCAAACAAAGTCTGTGCCCCCCTACAAAAGTATATTCAGACTTCCCTGCTCCTACTAAAATACTGGTTCTGTCTAGAAATTGCATTGGTGGTTCTCACTAGTGGCTCATTACCCTTTTATGATGAACCAGTATTCCCAGTCCCTCTCTCCCTCTGCTGTTCCCAGGTAATAGCAGAGGTCTGACTCAGGGGTCTTCCATCAGCCTCAGATTTCCTGATTTTGTGATTTTTTTTTCCCCCCCATTATTTTTAATTCCATTTCTGTCACTTAGGCATAAACATTTTTCTCTCTTCCTGTATGATAATTTGATTCTTCACTGTATTAGCCGCACTTGAAATGTTTGCATCATCAGCCATCCAAGACCTAGTCTCTACCAAGTTAGATGGTAGCAATTCTAAACAAAACAGGCCCCTGAGGAGCACTGCTAGTCATTTTTTTCTTTATCTCAGTACCTTGCTTCACAGTGTATGCAGCACTAGATGCTATACTTACATGTTACTATTTACTAAGAGATGTAATTTAATTGAAGAAAAATAAGCTAGTAAAATATGATTTCCTTTCATGTGCCAGTTGTTGGTTACTCTTGCAAGATATTGAAGAACACCAAGTTCCTGGGCTTTTTTTGGACACAGGTTAAACATTTGTTCTCCAGCCCTAGGCTACCGTCTCCCTAATGTCTAACTGAGAATCCTCATTCCTGAGCTTGCAGTTTTGATGTATAACCCATTTTTCTCTGTATGCCTGGGCAGATTTTTTTTAAGCAGCCTCATTTCATTTTRGTAATGGATGTGGTAATTTTCAGGTTCTTTATCTTTGCTCTCACAAGGTATTCTATCTCTGTCCTCATATCCAGCATTATTCTTGCAGGAAAATCTGATGCAAAAAGCTAATTTAATGTTTGGTCTGTCATCTTAATTTCTGCTCCTTGTTGATACCAGTTCTTCATTTTTGTTCTCTTTCTTAGAAACATATCATTTATATTTAATTTTCTGTGAGAATTCCCTTTTTTTGGCTGTTCCTTCTTGCAGTTTTCATTTAACTTCTACAGTCTGACCTCTAAGTGACAGCTCTCCTTGCTGATCAGTCCCTTTTTCCATTCCTTGTAGGTTCTCTGCTTTCTCTTAATATCCTGTTTTGAGGTGCATACTCATGCAGGTAGGTCTATAGCCCTTTTGTGTCCCCTCTCTCCCCCTTTTTCCTTTCTTTACTTGATGGGAAATACACAGATAGTGTGTAAGTTCAGCTAAATCCATGCCTTCCGTACACTCAAATCTAACTGTGTATGTGTGTCATATATCTTTGGATAAAATTTTGAGTTATGGCCCATCAGGGGAAGGTGGGATTGTTCTTGAAACTTAAAGAAAACTGTTAGTTTTTTTTCTGATTTGCAGCTGGTGAGGCCTGTACCCCCCAAAGGTTAAGGAAGTTTGAATTGCCTTTGGCAATTATTACGTGTTGTATAGGCTGGTTACTTCCAGATGGTGTTTTTCCTGCAAATAAAACCATAGGAATTAATTTTAAAACCTGGCATTTAAGCTGTCTGAGCCATATTTTTTGTGTTGCTAGATAAATACAGTCAGTTTTGCTAGAAGGTCATAATTTAGGAAATTTCCTCAAGTTGTTTTAAGGATTAACCTTTCTGTTAACAACACTATCACAGTGTTTCTTTTCTTCCTGGTTTGAGACACAACCTCTTTTGGAGTTCAGTCTTTTGTAAATACAAATACTAAGACCACTTGTTCCTTTCTCCAAGTGGTTTGGAAAGCTGCTGCAACAAATGCAAGGACTGGGTTTTGGAGCCCCAGTAATTACTTCCGAATCCTGTGTTTACCCTTCACATTGGCAAGGATGAAAAAGGTGACTTAATTATTCTGAGTGTTGGCAGTTTTAGAATACAAATAATACAAATACAGTTTTAAGTACTTGTGTGTGTCACTGAAATGGAGTCTCGAAGGCAGTAGGCAGGACTCTGGGGTAAGCCTGGGTTTAAGTTTCTGGGAGGTAAGGCCGTATGTGAATTTACAGTCTGTCAGATACTTCGTGTGTACTGCCCCATGAACACATTTGTAMCATATGGTCAAACCACATAATTGCCCAAATATATGTGAAAGCAGATGGATGTAGCTGAAACATTTTGGTCCAAAAATCAACACAGTAACTTAAAGTTGGGACTCTGTGTGCCGCCACAAACCGAGTTCGGCAAAGCTCCCAAGGATGGGAGCTCTGGTGTCAAAACCGGGCTGCTGTGGTGATTTTGATAGTGTTAATCTTAGAATACTGAAGCTAATATAAATTTTAAATTACAGTTTTATGAATTTCATTTGAATGTTATTGGAATTCCTGAGTGGGGTTTAATGGTGATGCATCGTGCTTGTCTCTTGTCGCAGCATTATTTGAGTTCCAAATCTCTGAATCAAAGTCCCTTCTCTGACAAAGCCTTTTAGTTAGTTATTTTCCATAACTGACTAAAATTTCCCAAACCCACCTCTCCAAAGTACCAAATTGCCTCATTAGCTGATAGCAAGAGAAATGTCTGTAAATCTTTCAATGCTTGTCAGACAACGTGTCCTTCAGTATTTAGATTGCAAGATTTTAAAAGTATGGATAATAGTATTTAGTAAATAAGGACTTGAAAAAATTATTAATGAGCTGTTTATATCTTGTTTCATTCTTAATTGTTTTCCTTTGCTCTAATGAGAGGGAAACCAATTTAGTGTCATTAAAATATGTCTGAACATGTTTTTCAGAATAAGCTTTCAACTCAGAGGTGGGGAATCTTGGGGGCTGTATCTTTAATCTGATGGCACTTTCAGTGGTTTGCTTTACTTTTTAACTTCATCAGGGGTTGGTGGGTATTTTTGTAACATATGGTGCACTMCGTTGAAAGTGGATGTTTACATCTGGTATGCATTGCAAGATTAAGCTAGAGAGGATGAAGTTTTGGACAAGTATGTGTTTTTTGGATGAAGGATAAAGTGAAAATACTTCTATTTCCTCTTAGATTTGAAACATATCATTCTAGCAATGTCTTTGAAACCCTGCCAACTTTGCCAACCATAACATTTATGAGATTTTGGACCTATACTGAATTAGAAAACTGTTTTTAGTGGAAGAGAAAAAGGTTAGTGCCTGAAAATAGCGGGCCCTATTATTGCCTGCCTGTGGTCAGTGGTTTGGCTGAATGTAGGAGGCTCTCTTCCTGTCCCTGTTTAAAGCATATGTCTTGGTGATGAATATAAAACTGTTGAAAATTAGATTGCTTTACTCTAGTAATTTCACATAGTAGTCTTCTACTATTTAATGGTGATTATTTTTCTTTTGCAATTTATTTTCAGTCTTGCAGTAAAGTTTTTTCTTTTTTTAATGGATCTCATGTTTGCTGTTAACATCAGATTTGAAGAATTTGGTGGTCTGTGTACAGCAGCTGCTTTTGTCACAATTTGAAGTTTAAATTTGTCATTTTTCTCTTTCCCACTGTGTATAAGATGGTTTGAAATTAACCCAGCTCTTTGTTTATGTCTTAAGGTGCAGAGATGATACAAGGTGCTCTCAGAGCTCAGGGAACAGGGAATTTTCTAGTTGCTGCTGCAGAGGGAGCTTAAGGGCATAACAGGTCTTGTTCAGGTTTATCTGAAATAGAGTTGCCATATATATGTGTGTGTGTGTGTGTGTGTGTGTTTTAAAAAAAATCTGGGCATTAGAACTGTAGAGTGTGCATTTTATAATTTGCCTGATATGTCATGTGTTTTCAGTATAGACAATTTTGAGGGATCTTCTTTAGCAACTATTGGATGCAAAAACTGGATTTATTTAGCTAAGCAAAGTAAACCTGGATCTGGAAAATGCTGTGAATTGCCCAGAGAACTTAGAGCACTGAATATTGATATGTTGGTTATATCACTGCAGTGTATTTAGGAACAAAGATAAACTGTTTAAAGCTTTTTCTATATTCGGGGGAAATATTTAATAGAGATATTATCTTACCATATAGTATATTACCATAATCTATATTACTATATAGATTTATATTAAAAGAATTAAGAAACAAGATAATCCACATAGCTTCTCCAATGTGTTTGTTCATCTGCTTTCAGAGGAGCGCAGCCTGGTCCCAAAGACCAGACCAAGGTAATCACTGCATTACACCAGTGAGGCTACTGTATTTCGTTAGGTCTTGCAGACTTTGAAGAATTTCTGTTTTTTTTTAATCTGCAGAAAAAGGTGTATGAAACTATTTAACGAATGCAATGGGCTTCTACAGAGCTCTTAGAGTGACAATGATTAACCAGATTCTTAGCGTTAAGAAAATGTCTAGAAGCTGTAATTGTTGCAACTATAGTTTATAACTTACTGTGATATCCTCGTGAAATAACATAACCTGCCATAACAGTTTACAGATCATTAAAATGCATCTCTGTTCTAATTCAGGCTAGCCCTTTTGAATTGTAGGGAGCAGTTGTTCCTAATTGTGCTTGGTGAAAGAACTGTCCCTAAGCAGGCTGTGTGGGTATCTAAGTCTAATTGCAAGAGGAGAATCTTAAGTAAAGTGGATATCAGCATTGTAGCCTCAATTTTTTTTTAAGTTAATCTAAATTTTTATGAATTTGAGGTCATGTAAAACACCCTTGCTAMCCATAAGCTATGTAAAGTCTTCTGTTTTTAAGTGTTCATTTTTTTGCTATTTCTGATTTTGGCTCTGGAAGTTGCTTGATGTTTTTGTTGGTGGTAACACATGGTTCAGCAATGCACTGACTTGAGAGCACTCATATTTAAACACATTGCCTCCCAAATAACTGTTTTTGATTTGCTGAGATCTTTGCGGATTAATTATGAACCTAATTATATTAATGTATCCCCATGCCTAACTGCTTGCATTGCAGAAGTCGGGGACCTGAGGGAGCTGCAGACGCTGGACATCTCCACCAACCGGCTCATCACGTTACCCGAGCGGCTGCACATGTGCCTGTCGCTGCAGTACCTGACCGCAGACCGCAACCACCTCTGCTGCGTCCCCCGCCACCTCTGCCAGCTGCCCAGCCTCAACGAGCTCTCCATGGCGGGAAACCGCCTGGCCTTCCTGCCCCTCGGTGAGTCGCTGTCTTCCTCCCACTGACAGCGAGCAGAGAAGGGGTGAAAAACAGCCTGCCTCCCAAAAACCCCTCCTCAACAGGCCATTTCCATCCCTTCGTAGGGTTGTGACAGTTGTCACGTTGAGGGAAGTAAGATAATAAGTGAAAAAATGAGAAGCACTAAGGTTTCACGTCTGTTTTAAAGCCATAGGTCAGCTATTAAAGTTGCTTTATTTTTAGCTAACTGAGGGAAAGAAAGTTTAAATGATGCCCTGTTTAAATATAATACTATGTAATCTGAGTTCCACCGCTTTGGTAATGATCTGTTTGTTTGCTGGATGTGATGATTTAACAAAGATTCTTCAGCCAGGGTTTTTAACTTGCCATGGAAACCAGTAACTACACAGAAATTATGTAGCATCATGAAGACTGACAGCACTGCATAATTTAGCTAAATTTTAGTTTGTGCTGTGCATAGGCATGCATCRGAACTCTCACAGCAGTAGCCCAGAAAAGAATTCATCTGCCTTTTAACCCTTTCTAAGTCTGGATCTGTAGAAGGAAGGCTTCGTAGCAGGAGGTGCAGCCAACGTGTGGTGTTAATAAGGAGTTACTATGTTAGTAGGACTGTGTGTTTTGCCTGTGCGAAGCAAGTCCTGTTCCAYGTGTTTCTTGCTTTTTACTTTCAGTAGACTGTCGAGGGCTAATTTCTGCACACATACACAGATCTGTCACCTCTGCTGAATATCYACTGATAGTTTTTCTAGCACACGATTGGAGTCTGGTTGATTATGGGCAGATGAAGTTTAGATGCAGCAAATAAAAATGAGATAATCTTATTTCTAAAGTAATTGCATTATTTAGGGATAACACTTTTGTAGTACTAGCTGTTTAGTCTTCAAAAACGTTGATAAGCTAAGACTCAAAAAGCCTTTACTGCTGCCAAGGGCCTCTGTCTATGAATGACCCCTCCAAAGAGAGTGTTTTGGTTATGTCCCAATATATGTTATTATATAGATGAGGAAATGAGTCCCAGGACGCATCATGGAGTTTCCAAAGCACTCTGTAAAATGAGCAAAGTAACTACCTCAACTTTGGCAAATCTTTTTAACTCAACTTTACAAGTGAGGGAAGTTGAAGACTTCTCAATATTTTTAATTTTGCAGAAGAAAGATGCTGTTACATGATAAGATATAAAACATTAAAGGATTTGAATGATTTAATGTAAAAGTTTTTCTTTACTTTTACACTAGTAGGTTATCTACTGAGTGAGAGAGCTATGACCTGGATCAGCTGCAGATCTGCTGAAGTGTTTTAAGTTCAAAAGGAGGAAATAAATCTCTAATAAAATGACACACCTTCCTTTTTTTTCCCTTTATTTTTAGACTCAAAATTCAAAACATTCAAAAGGAACTTTAAAATAACGGGAAACATCAAAGACTATCAATTGACCTTGTTCAGTAGTTCTTAATAGTGACTCACTGGTGAACATTTGGAGATAATTTGCTATCTCTGAATATGAAACTGAATCATAAATCCTAGAGTTCAGAGGAAAAGCAGTACGGAATAAATGTTAATGTTTAATCCTTCTTTCTGAAGAATCAGAAGGTTTCAGAATGGTCAAGATGTGATGAATAAAATAGTGCACCGAAAAAGCAAAAAGATTAAATCTATCTTCTGCCATGTGGAAATATGGTTTTGGGTATGTGGTAGGGCATGGAGCATTACTGAGGTGGAGGCACAACTGTGGCATTACTTCTGCTGGCTGCCCATGTTGGCTAGTGTTATTTTGTGTATACTCCTACATCCAACTTCTCTTTCATGGTTAATGACCGTGAGTAAGGAGGTTAAATAACCGAGAGATAGACATTGTAGAAACATTTACAAGTGGTAATCRAGCAAAAATTGTCAAGCAAGTTCTTGAAATTAGAGGGTAGAGAGTAGGAAGGCAGGCATCTTATTTATCACCAAGCATAATATGTTTCTTTTTTTTTTTTTTGACATGTCCATGTTAGATGAAATAGTCGTGTTTTAAACATATTGGCCAACATACTGGCTTGTTAAAGCGTGGCTTTCTCCTTGTTTTCCATATGGTGATGAGCATCCATTGCGCCACAGAATCATCTAAGAATTGCCCTTGGAGCTGCCTGGAGAAGCCTTGCTTGTATAATGGAAATTTACCTTTTCCATGGTTTAATAGGAATTTAATAGGAATAAGATCTATTCCAACACATTCCCTACACTTCCACTGCACTGCTGAACATGTTTTATGTAGTTTTGTCCTGTATCTTTTTATTATTTTTTTAAATGGTAATAGTAACCTTCCTGCAATTTGAGAGCACATGCATCTTAAAAAAAAAAAAAAAAAAAGTACAACAAAAGGAATCAAATTTGTAAAATACAATATAAAATAGCTCATGCCTCTGATTTTTCAAAACTGGCATGTAAACAAGCAGATGGGTAAACAATGAATTAGTCATTTGTTCTGCAGTGTATACTTAATTGTTGGATATAGAAGCATTTCACACAAAGGATTATTTTTCAGCTGTCATGTAGTCCAGTTTATATTCAAAGAAATAAAAATGCATGGATTTGAGTCTTTGGACCTTCCTAATAAATTTCTAAATATACCCAGACTGTAAGGGCAAGTCCAACTGGAAGTGGCTTTCTGGCCAACTGTGTGTGCAGTTTTTCCACTCGTCTGGATGAGGATGCGGTTTTCCTGTTGCTCTGATAAGTGGTCTTGAGAATTTTCTTGAATGGCAGAGGGAACTACTGATTATTTTATATCTATCTATTTTTATTATAAATTACCCTTTGATAGAAATGTAAATCTTTACTGTTACCAAATGCTTCAATGCCTGAATACAAACTCCACTGCAAGCAGAAATTAGAATCTGTTGACAATACTAGAAGAAAAATTATGTAATAAAGGTACAAATATAATTAAAATAGGCCATAGATTTTGAAGTGTACTTGCAGCACTGGTTATGACAGCAGATATTCAGTATTATATTTATTGAGGTTTATGTGCACTTCTTGTTTAGAAAACGTCTCTAGTAATTGTCAGTGCTCAGTAAACAAAGGCCTTATTCTGCTTCAGTATATGCTGCTTTGTATCCTTGCCCTCTCAATATGGTTAAAAGAGCATCAGTGCAGACACACAAGGGCTTTTGTTCCATCTTCAGCCATGTGGAATGCATATGCCAGGGCCCTGAGGTTTTTTTTTAATATACAAAAAAAAGGGGGGGAGGGGAGGAAGAAAAAGCAAAAAATCAGAACTGGGGTTTGTTCAGGACTCATGGCATTTGGTCATTTCTAGGAGAAAGGTCTTTGATCTGGGAGCCTGGAAGGAGGAAAGTGGAAATGTTTTAGACACAGTGCAGTGCTTGCAAAAGCCACATGAAAACCTTCTTTGTAGCTTTAGCCTTTTCATAGATGGGCAGCTTCCTTATTTCCCAAAGTTCTTAAGAAGTGTGTTTTTGAGAGGAGTTTTAACACTATCTGTTGACTGATATAAGACATAAAAATTAATGGAGATAGGATACAAAGAGCTTTTTAAGTGATGATTTATTTAAATTTAGCTAAATTTCATGCATAGTGTTTGAAACTTGAAAAAAATCTTTGGGGACTGGGAGATGCTTGGTTATTTAATGCAAAGAAACTGTATCAAAGGAACATTTATAGTTACAGGCTATTTGGCGTGGGGAATTGAATTTTTCCTACTGAGATATTTTGTCTAACATCCAAAAACTTGCTTTAATTACCTAGGAAATGCAATGTTCAACTCAGAACTTACCGTCTAAACATAGCATAAGATAAAGGCAGAGCAAGGAGATGAGGTGCATCAAGGGAATGGGGAAAAAGCCAACCCCCTCCTTCCTTCTAAAACGCACATGAAAAAGGGACCTTTTAGCCTTTTTTCTTTTTTTTTGGTTGTCTGATTTCCAGCCTACCTATATACATTTGTGTACAAATGAGCCTTTAAAAAAAAAAAAAAGAAAAAAAAAAAAGAAAAAGAAATTCTCCCATTCTCCAAATTAATAAATTAATCCAACCTATGCAGCCACCCGTAGTTTTCAGCTCTTATTAGTGTAATTAGTTTCTGCAGCACGAGGCAGTGTCTGTTCAGCTGCATCTGGGCCACCATGCGCGCTGTGCACTTTAACTTTCATTACCTGGCTCTTTTGCAGCAGTACAAGCTTTTACAGTAGCCCAGCACTCCATATTTTTATTCATTGCAGGATAACAATGCTTTTGTTTCATCTAAAAATATCCCAGGACTTCAGTAGGCTATTTTCAGCCAGGCAATATCCCAAGCGAAACTAAATCATCTTTTTGAGGTGGTAGCTCCTAACGATGCACGTTAGCACCTCCCAGCAGAGCCCATCRCACAGTGCAGATATCTGTACATGCTTCTGGGGGCAGAACAGTCAATGTGTGCATCCCATAGCTCTTTGATCCCAAATGTCTTTGGGATAGYGTCAAAGAAGCCTGTGCTGGTTGAAGGTGTCCCCTGATGTCTGCTGACTCCAGTTTGAATAAAGGCCAGAAATTGTCCGTGAAGCCTAGGACAAAACCTCCATAGACTGTAGCAGGGTAAGGCTCTTATTAAAAGGAAAAACAACTCAAGTTTTATGTTAACGCTTTTCTTCCAGAAAGGAAACCTATTAGGTTTTCTGTTGGTATCCTCACTTGTTCTCTGTACAAAAGATTTGAAAATGCTGCATCTTTCAAGTTCCTCAGCATGATCTTCCAAGGTTTCTGATGCTTTCAGCTGCCATTCAAGGGGGTGAGAGCTGAAGGCATTCAATATATTGTAAGATGGGCATAGACACTTGAAAAGCTATTTGCTTTATCTGGGTTAAATTACATCCAGAGCTCTGTGTGTAAGGAGAACTATTCAGTGATAAAGCACTGTATTACCTACTGTCATAATAGGGAATAACGAGGGATCTCAGAAGGACTCCAAACAAAAYATCTAAAGAGAAATATCACAGAAAATGTTCTAACTTTTCACTCTGGTCTTGATATAATGGTGATTATGAAAGGGACAGAARCTATGTTAATCCCTCTGAAGTGACCTTTGTTTTTATGCCAATTAGGAGAACTGATGGTCAAGATGGGAAGTCAGACTGGTCAATTTTACGCTATGCTTTTAGCCTGCTTGAGTCAACCAAACACTTGTTTGTCTCGGTGTCTGTGATGGACTCTTTAAGACTATAAAAAGTTAAGATAGAGGCATCTATTATGTTCTTAATGTATATACAATAACTTTGAAATAAAGTCTCCAAACCAACTTTAGAGTTTTCAGAATGAAAATTCTTATGGGATTTTCAGGACTGTTGAAAAAGGGGTGTGTATGTGTATATGTACATACACACACACACACACACACACACACACACATATACATATATGTAAGCTTCTAACCAGTTTCTCAGTTAATACATAATGAAATAATTAGTTTTTGAGAAGTTAACAATTTAGCTTTACTTACACTGAGTCTGTTTTAAGAACGGTTTTGCTTAAAACTGTCATTTTGTCATCCCTTCTCCCCCTTACTTTTCTTTTTCTTGTTTTCTCAACCCAGATTTAGGTCGTTCTCGGGAGCTACAATATGTTTATGTGGAYAACAACATTCATCTGAAAGGGCTTCCGTCTTACCTGTATAATAAAGTCATTGGTTGCAGTGGGTAGGTATGAGTTAATTTAAATGTTTTGCATAATTTTTTCCTTGTAAAATTTCTTCTAAATATGTGCCTGTATGACACAACTCTTTTTTGTGATTGATTCAAAACTAATGTTATTTTAAGGGAATTACTGCAGCTGCCAGTTCTCTTTTACTTTGGTAATAAATTTTGTGTGTTAATTTGCTGACTTACAATATTTTAGTATTAAGCAGTAACAGTCAGTGCAGCAATTCTAAAGGAATCCTTAATGATTGTGGAGGGCTTGAACCTGAAGAGTAGCTGCATTTAAATGCAGCCAAAAATGTAGGCTTTGTAGGTTGTTTTTACCTTATTTTATTTTACAGAACTAAAGAATGCAAAGAAAAAAACCCTCTTTCTCATATGTTACAGCATTTAATTAGTTTGTAATTCCTAACATTTTGTAATTTAAGAACTATTTCTTGGCATGTTACACACAGCCCGTTCGCTTACTTTACATCCCAGCATCAACACTTCATTTGGCTTGCCRCCAACTAACTAAAATAAGTAACTTTTTTTTTAGGAATTCTAGATTGACAGGTATATTTTTAAGTGTGCATTTCAAAAATATCCTAGGCAGTCTCATGTTTGCGGTCAGGATGTGAGGAAAAAGTGGTCTGTGTAGGACACTAGCTTAATTCTTTCAACACTGACACTAGCATAAATTGGGATCAGCACTGCTGAAATGAATGGAGTCTTGCTGGTGAAAACTGATCAGAGGAGAATTGTCCCCATTACCATCTAATTATAAATTGCTGGTATGCTTGCTCTCAGCAGATCTTACATTAAATATAAATTCCCTCTTTACAGCCTGTGCTCCRCTGCCATGTGTGAGATATTGAGTCTTGACATTTTAATTTTTTTTTTAATATCCCTATGTCGCATAGCTGTTGGTGTGATATTTAAAAACTTGCAGTTTTATTATAATTCTGCTGATCTGTGTGCAGCCTCAAACTTTTACAGATTTGCTTTTCAGTAAAATAATTCTTAGGATTGTTTTGTTTGCTTGCTYTCAGAACTGAGAGTACCTTGTAAAAAGGACATTAATGATGATAGATAATTGACTTTAAGGATAATACAAATGATCTTCCCACTGATCTTTGTTATGAGACCCCTCTGCAGTCCACAGTAAATTCTATTTCAATTTGAATTTTGATAATTGTTTGGTAAAATTTCAGCTTCTTCATTCTTTGACAGTTTTATTGTTCAGTAATGATTATAAAATCCATAACTAAATTTCCACAAAATGCCTTTAAAAGGGAGGAGGGAGGAGGAGAGAGAAAATTATTACCAGTTCTTTTGGCTTAGGCTACATTTGCACTGCTGGTGGCATTCTGTCTGGAGAATACAGTGAGTCTATAATTTTATTTATAACAAAATTGAAAAACAAAATAATTTTGTTTATAAAGCAAAGTAGTATTTGCATCTGTGTACCAAATGCATATTTCACGTTATTTTGTGAAATGCTTTTGAAATCTTAAATTATTTTTAAGAAGAACTTTGACATGGGAAAAGCATTTCTATGTACTTTAATAAGAAACCTAGGCTTTTATTTGATGATGTGCTGGGCGACATTGTTAAAAATCATATAATCTGAATTAAAACATGAATTAAAAATCATGGTAATCTGGAATATTTCCATGTTCTTTCCAAGTAGGTATTAGTAACCAATGCAGGGTTTTTACAGGTCAAACAAAAGGACTGAAGATTCAGGGTTTAGTGCTTTTCCTGAGCATCCACTGGGTAACAAAATCTGGCATGTTGCTGCTACAAATATAAAGCTAGATTTCTGAAAATAGAATATAAATTGCACTGTGTAAGTAATGAATATCTGTCTAGGAATCCTGCAGTCAGACTGACTGAAAAAACGTCTTTTACATAAGAGGTGATGATCTCAGCACTCAGGATAAATTTTGATCTTACTTTTTGYGGATTGGATTTCATGGTCTCCAGCTAGGTATCTGTCAGCTTGCTGAAGGGAGCCAAGTGGTGGTCACAGCTCTTTCCCTTGGGGATTTATTTGTCAGGGATCTTCTGTAGCTCCATATTTCCTGCTTGATAAATCATCCTTCCCCTCTTCCCTTCCCTGCTTTTTTTCTTCTTAACCTCCATGAAGTTTGTTTCTGTCAAGTCTTTGTTTTTTTACCCAGCAGTATTCACAGGACAAAATTCTTCCCCTGATAAATCCTGACTTCTGTTTTAACGTGTGTGTGTGTGTATTACATGTGCACATATAATATAGCCTAACTTAAGGGTCTGTCTCTTGTAGATTGTTCTGCTTGGTGTCTGGACTGCTTGCTTTGTTTTTTGGTGTTGTGGGAAGAGACGTTGGACATGAATAGCCTCGCTCTTTGGGCAGCCCAAACGGCCAAGCTTGGAATTGTAGYAACTGTAGCAGCTTATGGGAATTCTCTCTATTTAGAATGCAGAGAGGCTGATGAGCTTGAAAATATGTGCTAGCTAATTTGTTGGGATCACATTGCTGGAGAATTGACTAGTAGTATATTAGAGTTCTGAAATCCTGATTATTTTTTATTACTTTTTTAAAATCCYATTAGTGATTTGTGGGAAAGTATAAAATATTTGACGAGAGGCTTATTGACTTGCTGCTCGCTGCTCTTCTTCGTTGCTTGTTTTGTGGCTTTTTTTTTAATAGGGCAAATGAGATTCTTTGTCATCGGAGAAATACGAAGAGATTTCCTTCATGCCTGATACAGCCTAATAGAGTTACCTCAGTTTTAGGTCCAGTATCTGGGAAGGCTGAGTAATTTGTGTTTCTGTTCCATTTGTTAGGACTGGCCCTAACAAGTTGCTCTTGGCTTCAGATTTAAGTTGTCATAAACAATTCCGATTCCCCCATTGACTTCCCCAACTTCTTAGCAGATTTTTCCTTTGCGTGTCTCTTTGGTATGATAGATTGCAACAGGGATCATGTAAAGAATTATTATTTTTACTACAGGCTAAGTTTCTGTCCTTGGATCCAAATAACTTTTTCTTATGATTTGGGAAGGACAATGCTAGTAGACTTACTGGGTTGTCTTCTTATTACAGCTTAAGGCTTTTTTTTGTCTTTTTCCTTTCCAAGGGAACTCTGCAGATAGGGAAAGTTGCAGCACAAAATCAGCCAGTGGCATTTTGTTCTCAGCTACTTGGTCCAAAACACAGGAAACCAATTATTGGGTACAAAACTGTTCTTTATGCAATATACTTGCCATGGTGGCATTCAGAGGCTAAATGAGATGAACTTTTAGACAAAATAAGGGATATAGGACAACTTTGAGCAGTAGACTTGATTGTTCCCTTAGGATTGTTTTCTCATTTCTTTACTGACCACTTCATGGTCAGTGAAGACCTCCAGGTGACACGAGACTAGCAGGCCACAGAGGTTGGGCATCTATGGGAAATGCACATCAATAGGTGTCACACTCTTCATRAGTCCTTGGAAGGTGCTGCACAGAAGAATAGTATCAAGTGTGCTTTGGGCTGGTCATGAGAGTTTTTCCATGGAGTTACTTTTACTGTTTTCTAACTACTTTCCAAACATTTTGTGTCCTTCCAGTTGTGGTTCTCCAATTCAGGTTTCAGAGGTGAAACTGCTCTCTTTTTCATCGGGACAGTTAACTGTGTTCCTGCCAGCAGAGGTGAAATCCATAGGGACAGAAACAGATCGTGTGCTGCCGTTGCAAGAACTGGCCATGAGGACACTCTATACCACCTACTACAGGCTTCTAAAAGGTATGAAACTTGTGCATTCTTTAGGTTGCCTAAAAACCACTTCTGTTTTTGYAATGGCAGAGACATTTCAAACAGTTCCTCAAAGAACTGGGCAGATTTATGTTTTAAAAGACTTATGTAATCGAATTATGTTTAAATTGTTGTTTAAAAATACCAAATATCAAAGCTAGAGATACAAAAACTGTACAGTCTTGCTTACCAATAGTTTCTTGAGGGCTGTACAAAGAAGGAGGCTTTTTGCAGCAACTCTTTTAATGGAAATAAGAGATGAGAAATGCTCTTCCTGAGGCAAGATTAGATGCATCAGCCAACAATGCAGCTCCTTGCCAGGCAGCACACTGCTCAACTGGCAGGCTTGTACATAAGGCAAAGGCAGTGTTAGCAGCCGCTGGCCATTTGGGTGCAGCCTGACAGCTGAGCTGCTTTAGTTCTGCCCCAGTTCAGACTCTTGGTTGTGAGCTGGCCCTCGGCTCCTCTGGTTCTATGTCGTGCTGTCACATGAGCTGCTGATATCTGAGAATTAGCTGCAGATTCAGATTTTCTCAGATTTCGGGGCTTTGAGAATCTCTCCTATTCGTGGCAATCTGGAAATTTGTCAGAGGTGAAAGGAGAAGGCTGGAAGGGTGGAAAGTTACAGTAAAAAGATAAGAGGGTTCCAGCAAAGGATCCCTTGGATTCAAGCTGCTGGAGGAAGTCCCACGTGCTGAACTGTGCCCATGCCAGGAAGAGCATCCGAGGAGCTGGCATTCTCCATGGCCTCAGCAGCAAAAGTAATGACATGCACAGTGATTTCTGAAATATGACTGTGAGACTATGGCTCTTGAAGACATAGGTGACGCTTGGTTTGAGAATAACAGGCCAGCATTGCAAAATCCATTTAAGGAAGTTTGTAGGAGGTTTATACAAGGATCTGAAGATCATATCTGGTTACAATGAAGGTGGAGAACTTGAAAAAGATTATGAAGCATCATTATAACTCCTATTTCCAACTAGGAAGAATGTTCTGTACTATATAGSCTTCATATCTCTTCTTCTGAGGGACCTTATGACAGATGGTGTGCATTACTACTGGTGACACCCAGATTTCATTGAGACATGAATAAAGCATAGTCAGGGATAAGATAATGGTGGCTTGGGAAGCAAGGGACACATGATGAAAGCTGCAGGTTTGATCTATCGCTTAAATTGCTTAAATTTGCAACGTTAAACATGCTGTTAAATGCTCGGCTGCCTCTAGATAAGTATGAAAGTGGCTAGACAACTTTTTCTGTTTGTCAAACCTGTCATCCCAAAGTGATGTTGTAGAACATTGTGCATGGGATTAAACCTTACAGTGTTTGAAAGCTGAAACTAGTCTGTTATCTCAAACCTGATTTATCAGATACTGCATCTTGTCCTGATTACTCAGCACCTAAACTCATTCATGTGTCTTGGCTCTCAGACAGACAGAGTTTTCAGACAGAGATTAACCTGTTGGTTTTAATTTATAAAATAATAACTGACTTGGGTTAAGCTTGAAAAAAAAATATGATTGGTTCTTCCCATGAAATGACTGTAGCTTCTGTTGAACTGTGGGGGCATTCCTGAGAGACTGTGAACGTATTGATCGTACTGGAGTAGCCTGCTTGCTATGAGGATTGCACTGGGCTGGATAGTATTTCAATTAATGCTAAATATTAGAGATCCCTTTTTGCTGATGGTGGAGTTTGGGCTTTTGAGTGAGCTTAACTATCCTGCTGGATTGGCTGCTGAAAGATTTCAGTAAAATAATACTGATGTCCTTTCTAGATTTTTGCCTTCTTGTTTATTATTAAATACTTGTCCAGATTATAAATACATGATGCTAACAACTCTCCAGGCCAAGTCCTCCAGAATCTCTGTGTCTAAGAATGCTAGGTGACATACTACTGCTTTTTATCATTTGATCAACAGTATCTTCAGAGGGGTATGTGGGCCCTCTTAATCTTACACCTGCAGGGTTTTTCTAACTTTTACGTCTTTGAACTTTATTCAATGAGAACATGATGTATTTCACCTTGATTGTGGATAATGTACTTTAGCTGGCTGTTCTTCTGACCGCTTTGAGAAAGTGAGACCTGACTTTTTTCTCAGTTGTTCATGAATTGTGCTTATTGTGTTTGCCTTGATGGTGCAGTTGTTTTGTTACAAGGCTTTCTTGTTCCTTCTCTTCCCTAGACTTGAACTTTCTGACTCCGATCTCATTACCCAAAAGCCTCTTGGAATTGCTGCACTGTCCCTTGGGACACTGCCATCGTTGCAGCCAGCCCATGTTTACCATTGTCTACCCGAAGCTCTTTCCCTTGAGGGAAACTCCAATGGCCGGATTGCATCAAGGGTAATTATGCAGGAAATTAAACTGGGATTTCATTTAGGGGAAAAAAAAAATCACCTTTATGGAGCAAAGTGGGATTTTTTTTAAGATTAGCAAGCTTTCAGATCTAAAGCTCCTCTCCTACAAGTTGTCAAATCTTTTATTTGCAAGGCACCCAGTAAACTGCCATAAGACGAGGGTTGTGCATCACTTCTGTGTTTCAGATTGATATTAGTGAAGGACTTTGGTAGGAAGGGATTGACCTGTTTGCAGTAGTCAGCACTTGGATGGCACTTCTTTGCCCAGACAGGATACATTGCCTAACACTCAAACTTCCCCTGATGCTTTCAAGCCAGACTTGAGGAGAATGCCACCACCAAATAAATAGAGTTCTAGAATTAAAGGTCAAGAAAGAAGAAAAAAAAAAAACTATAAAGCCACAGTTTAATTAGAATATTCTGCAGTTAAAATATTTTTTCCATGCTAACACATTAGAGACATGCCGTAGAAGCATTCTGCATTTTAAAAAAGTGGCTTGCCAAGAAACACTTGTTAAATATTTCAGTTTTTATGATGATAGCAGTTGTGAATGTGCCTGCAGGCTTCTCTAGTCAAGCTYAGAAGCCTACGCAGACTTGCAGAACTCAAAACTGGGGGTGATTCAGGGAGTATTGCCCCCATACAGAAAAAAACTTTAAAATACTCTGACTGAACACAATCATCTTGCAGTGATTATTTTCCTATCCCCTATTAGTCTTGGTTGATGCTGCGGCCTGGCAGCAGCTGTAATATTAACAAATACACATTCTGCAATGAAAAAAAAATCAGAGAGATTTCATTCTACTTAAATTTCTAGACTTAATCTGTGAAGATGACAGGATTCAGCACCCTGGAACAGCCATACTTTTYCAGAGAGGTTTCCTCTATATTTCAGATCCAACTTTTTTTCAAATTTGCTTGAATTGAAAAATTACTGAATATTAGCATTAGGATTAGATATTTTCATTATGTTTTTGCTTCATTTTTCCTCTGGTATCACTCAGCTGACTGTGCCCTTTCCCTTTTTGCAAGAGCATGGGAGAGAGAAATTGCCATATTCTATATAAGAAGTGGTGCCTGCCACTTAGGTTTAAGATACTTGTGAAAAGTGCAAGAAATAATAAGAGTATGTTAATTTTTGATTGTGAACCCAACATTAAAAGATGCAAGTTGAGTATGTGCCAGTGAAAAACGTAAAAGTTCACACAGATCCTTATATCCTTGCTCCTGAGTGCTAAACTGGCTGAGAGCACCATCATCATCTTGCCATGCATCCCTCATTTGAATTTCCTGGGGGCTTTTATTTGCTTTGCTTTGAAATTCTCTTATTTTCCTTCTCTTTGGAGGAGAGTCCCCTTTGCAGAATGTATCAGAATGTCATCAAAATAGCAGTGCTACAAGTATTTGGACAGTGGAAGGAAATGTAAAATTCTCTTACCCTGCATGAAATAAGGTCTTAAAACTGAACAACAAGGAGGCTTTGTCCCATTCATTGCTGGTATAATTCAAACAAAACTACAGTACTGTTTGAAACCTAGTTTGCTATAAAGAAAAGTCACTTGGGGTTAAACAAGCAAATGTGTTGTTCAGGTTCTTAWAGAGAAGTCATAGCAAGACATTTCTTAAACAGCATCTCCTTAGAGATRGTGGAGCAGAAAGGAAGGTGATTTWAAAAAAAAATGTTTCTGCAAATTAATTTTTGGTTCATATAAYGCGCAAGATGCTGCACAGTTCTTGCCCTGCTGAAATTCAGTGATTTGTACAACAATAAAAAGACGCTGCTTTTCAATAAGGAGAATGTTTACAAAAAAAAAAAGAGTGTAACTGTTGATTCTCGTTGATGGTATTAGTCATTTTTCCACAGCTAAATCACAGTCTATTTTGCTGTGGGTTTTTGGCATATTAGGTATCTGATTTGTAAGCAATTCAACTTTATGAAATGAAAACAACTTTTGTCTGTCAAATCKAGGCAGCAGCCGGAAGGCTGCATAAATGCTCTTTTGGAAAAAACAGCTTTTTAAAAAAGCTCTCTTGCTTATGAGATGGTATTCTTTAACTTGTCTTTGTATTACAGTTCACTCGGATGTTTAAATTCAATGGACCTCATGCTGATTCAAATAAAATTGCTCCCACATTCGTTTTTATATTTAAAATGGTGTAAGATGTAACAAATACGTAATCAATAATTTCTTTCAAGCCCRGTAGAGTGATATAATATTTTAAGATGCTGATGGGAATCTGCTTATCACTAAATCCTTATATTATCTTAAGCCAACAGTAGGAGACCACAGTAAACCGGAGTCTGCCCCCCCAAAATAAGCAAGTTCTGATTTCTAATTTTTATTCATTGTAAAGCTTAGAGTATAGCRTGATAGGTGTATTAACACACACCTTTATTGTTTAGGAATTATAATATTAAAATTGACAAAAATAGACTTTGTCTGGATGAACACCATATTGTCATTCTAAAGTATATCAGCTAAACTTTTATTTCTGTCTAATTTTCACTTATTGAAAAAAGACATGAACTGGATATCTTAATTATCTAATGTAAATGATCATGCCCTCCCTTAAACAAGAATGTACAGTGTTTTTGCAAAATGCAGTAATGAATTCATCTTGAGTAGCTGACATTTGATGCAAATCCAGAGAAAGGGAGATCTAAAGAGGCTGTCATCCTTATCTCCCTAGCTCTCGCACTTGACACGGGAAGATTATAGGGAATGGCAGAGGTGTGATAGCTGGTTTATGAAGATGTGAAGGACAGGGCTGCAGCTCTAAAGAGCTTATGGTGACCATGAAAACACGCAGGGAAAGGGTCCTGAACATTTGAGCAGTACTGATTAGCACATGCCACGTTCGTGCCAGTAACTGCTGTCTGGATTTCTGTATCACAGGCTGTATCCTCTTACAGGAAGGGAGAGTCAAGTGTTGAACTCAATCTCTATATGTGAAAAYGCAGAGATGACATGAGCGCTGGGTACAGTTCGATTTGTGCATTAGGAGAAAACAGATTTTAATGTTTTTCAAGCTGCTATCTAGGTCGCTGCCAGGCTGGGGAGGGTCACACCGCAGCACCAGAAGGCCGGTACGGTGCTTTCCTGTGGCCATCTCTGGTGGTGTCTGAGCTGCTGTGGGCAGCACAGCCGGTCCCTCAGCCCCTGCGAGGATCTGGAGCCCGTCACTCACTCAGCTGAACTGCAGGAGGATGCTGCACTTGAGTTATTTCATGCCTATGAGCAGCAGTTTAGGAGACACACGAGCAAGGCTGAATCAAAGCACTCCCAGCAGCTATTTTCATTTCAGCTCCTAAACCTCCTGGCTGTAACAGCCAACCCCACCCTCTGCAGAGAGGAACTGCTGCCCTTCTTCAGACAGAGCACAAAGCAAAACCAGGAGGGTTTTGAGAACCCCCGCAGCGTTTCCCTGCTGCCTTATCCCTCACTCGTATACAGCAAATGAAGCCTCTCTTGCTAAAGTGTTGAAACAGGCTAATCCCTGTAACACTTCTACAAACCATCATATTGTCTGCTGTGGAATGGGGCCAGTAGCTTTAATCTTGACAACTCTTCTTCCCTCCCACCCCCGCTTTATTTTCTCTCTCTCTCTCTGCAGGAGGACAACTGTTAGTTTTGTGGCATACTGCTGCTCCACCCAGTGTCTGCAGACTTTTGACCTACTGAGTTGATAAACACTCAAAGCTGCTCAGGAGCCCGGCCAGCTTCAARCCGCATTAGACAGCGTAGCCCGTTGGTGCTGGAATACTGTGTGCTGCGTGCGTGTGTGCCAAAGCAGCCGACGTGCCCGCTCGGGAACACGGAGAGGCTCTTAATTCCTGCCCTATCAAGGTTGGATGAACTGCAGAAACTTTTTGGAAGCGTAAATACCAGGCTTTTACAAGCATTAACTTCTCTCTCCTCCAAAGCAGCATGCAAACCAAACAAAATCACGAGTCCTATYTCCAGTTTTCCAGTATTTTTCAAGTGTGCCAGTTTTCAAATGACACCAATTCTAACAATGTTTAATTGACCTATAGTTTAAAAAAAAAAGAATTCTCACAAGCCAATTTTCAATTATTAATCTGCACAACCCTCCTGCACCTGTASTGGGAGGCAGTTGTATACATCTAAGCTGAGAGAAACCTTTGAAGGATCACAGGGACTCTCCCATAGAACTTGACTTTATTTTCTCCCATTTGTCTTAGTAGTTTTCCCAATGCAGTTTTACTAGTTGTAGACTGAATCTCGGGTTAGCTAACTGGTATTTAAATCTGTGTGTTCACAGCAGGTTTTTCTTTCTGATACCATTACAAGTCGCACTGATTTCCTTGGCATAATGAAGATATGTGCAGAGACTAAAGTACCTGTTTTGGTAATGAAGGCTGATACTGATACCTACACTAAGTGGTCTTTCTCCAGCTTGTTTAGGGATGTGTTTTCCTTATTTTCATCTTGGGTTTTTTAGAAAACACTTTCCCTCTTCTTTGAGTTCTTTAGGAWGAAGACAACTTTAAATACCAGTTTCACTTGGATAAAATAGTAATACAAGCGTAAATATTTGTATTTATATCTTAAGTGCAGACCATAGGCCTGGAAAGAGCCAAAGAGCAGTTCTTCCTCCTTTTCTTGGTTGGGCATTTGGCTCATATCTGAGCGCTATAACCTCAGAGAAGGTGCAGGAGGGGAGGGCAGTATGTGTATGCTGATGTGCAGGCATATATGCATACATTGGGGATACTCCCAAAAGGGCTGTAACATCTGTGTTAGCATGTTAATAGCGGATTTAGCACAAAATTCCCCTTGCCATCTTTGTGGGAATCTTTTTGTTTGATCATATTCATTTTAAATAAAGGACAAAGGATGGTTAAAAGGCCCAAAATATCTGAAGAACTTAAACGTTTAATTTTACACTGAAACAGCTTATATAAAGTCACTCCCCCTTGACTTGTTTTGGAATATATAAATTTTTAATACAATGTCTTCATGATTTATTCTTAGGTATAAACCACATGTTGATTTAACAGTGTTCTGCTCTGTGCAGTAGTTAGTTGCACTCTGAAATAGATATGAATGAAACGGTTTGTTTAAATATGGCAAGATAAAGAGGCTTATTTGGTAGTATATTAGCATATGTTGTGGTGAGGTGCACATACTTTGAAGGGAGGGGGCATTAAAATGTTTTCCTTTTGCCAAAGAAGCATTTGTTCCTGCTGCAAGCTTCCTGGCATCTCTTCAATGCATAGAGTATCTTAAAAGCTTAAAAGAGTACCAAAAAGGCAGGTTTTGGGGGTTGAATTTTTAGGTTGTGCATGTTACTTGTAAAAGCCCTGCTRGTTCTGCTGGGCTGGTTTCAGAGAGTTGAATTAGCATTAAGAAATGTAGAACTTAATCCTTCAGGAATGCAAGTATCACTACTTTTTAAGAATTGTGAAACTTTCTAAAATAAATCCCACTTAATAAAACTGCTTTGCAGTAGGGGAAAGAGCCCTGTCCCAAGAAGACTTTGTACTATTGGATTTCTTATTCTCTGTAACTAATTCCTAATGTTTCATTTTGGTACCCCCAACAGGCTTTCATACCAAGTGGGGATTACCATAGAAGCTGCAATATGAATCTCCAGCTGTTTTTTTTCTGCATTACTACAAATTTGAGGTATAAATTGCCTATCTTCGTTATATGCCTGTATCAGAAATGAGCAAGTGTAGTACAAAATCCAGTATTTGAATGGATGGCACATGCAGATGTCATTAAATGGTTTAATTTGCCCTACAGTCCTATGTGATGTGCTTATAGCTTTTGGAGTAGAGCTGTTGTGATTGACCTGGCATTTTAACAGGTGTGTATTGGTAAACAGAAAAAAAGCTATATGAAACACACCCATTTTAAAATGGCACCTGATTTCACATACTAGTCCCCCCTTTAAGTAAAATATTGTTACGCAGAAAATAATGGTTCAAAATATTCTGCCAAACCACTGCTTTACTACACATGTTAATTATTGATGCAATATTCTGATCATGTCTTTTCATTATCATTTTTATTATGGTTTCCTCTGTATTCTTTGGAGGAGATGCTTTGTTGGCAGTTTATTTTACTGTTTTAATTTTGTTTTTATCCTTAGCAACTCATAGACTTTGTTTCAAACAAGTTTATTTCTGAATTCTGTTAATGGTATTTTGCAGTTAAATCTTTTGGCCATTTAAAAAGTATAGACTTTTGTTTTATTAAGAGTCAAACAGTAAGAGTGGGGCTTGACATTTTTTCCACAATCTAATTATTTTTCATTGGCTTCGTATCAGCATCTTTATCATTGTCTGCAAGTGAAGTTCAGCAGAAGAAATTTTGATTTGTCCTATAAGCAGGATGAATCTTAACTAACATTTTGATAGATGATATATCAAGAATGGAATGTTCAATGAATAAATGACTTAAGCATGCAATAGAAGCTGAAATGTCATACCCTATTTTTTTTAAGAAGGAAGAGGAAAGCCAATATATAGACTTAAAATGTAGCTTAAATTCATGTCTCTGTTTTTGTTACAAACAGTGTTTGGATTCACCTATATGATTAGGTGACACTGTTCTAGATTAAAATAACTCCCTTCTCACTCATCCTTTTTTTTTATTGTTTTTCTACTGTAACAGTAGTTCCTACTAGTTAACCTGAGGAGCCCACTATGCAAGTCGCACMGAGGGGAGGGAGCTTGTTGCCGATTGAACTGGGCATCACTAGGATTCTTTTATGCAAGTTCACTACTTTGTGACTCCTCTTTAAYGCATTTACTTTTAAGTTGGTTGGATTGATTGCTCTTGTTGATCAGGCCTGTTCATTCTGAGATCAATTTCTCCTCGAGTTTTTAGAACCTGGTGTCAGCTGTATAAAAAACACCATTTGTAAGGTTTTCTGTATCGTAAAAGTAGATCTCACCTCTTTGCTTAGGGTGGGTCCAGGGGAAGTTTCTGTCTCTATTTTTTTTAATATATACCAGAAGTTATGAGAGGATGGGTTATAGTTTTTCAACCCATCGATATTCCTATAATTTTTTCTAAGATTAATTGTATGGGAGCACAGCCATAATTTTTATTTCTTGTGATAACAGTCATTATTAGTAGTGAGACACTACTGGGCTGTGCTTGCAGTGATAAGCTTTTGCTTTGCCATGAAGGAAATGCAGGAATCTCTAGCTTTGTTTGAAAATTCTCATTGAGCAGTTTTATACTGGGTGTTGTTACTTTTGGAATATGGTACTTGGGAACCTTCCTGCTACTCCCACCGTAGAGGATCACAAATACAAATGTCTTCTCTTGTGCAAAAAACAAGCTCTAGTATCAAGAAGTGAGTATTTTTCTATTGGGMTTGTATTGAAGTTTATTACAAACCTCCTATTTACTTCATTGTGATGAGGTCAAGATCTTATACTGAGCAGCGTGGAGCAACTTAATGCCAAGTTGGCTGCAATTCTTAATATCAAATTCTGCTGAATCCCATTTTCTGGCAAGAAGGGAGGAGAAGACTGTTGTAATCCCCCGTGTGGTAACAGTTTGTCAGGTTTTACTGACACCACAGCCAAGTTGAAGACYGGACGGTGACAAAACTTCCAGTGGAGAAGGTGACTGTTGTTGTTGTTGTTGTGAAGGCCGCTGAGGCCCCATCCAAGCACTGCTGATAACAGAAGGACTTTTGCCTTGATGTCAGTGGGAGCTGGATCAAGCTTAAGTGATGAGAGAAGAATGCGTTTTACTGTCATGATCTTCCTTGAAAAAGTTGGGACAATGAGACTGAAGTCCATGCCTGTTGTTAGGCAACCTTTCTATCTGCAGCTGAATTTACGTAATTCCAAGATGTAATTTTCTTTGCCTCTTACCTCCCTCTTCGTGCTCCTCACATTATTGCAAAATGTTAATTTGTGATGGAAGAGGCTGAGGAAATTGAATCCAGAATTTTTATTACTCTTTGTATTACAGACCTATTTTGTAAGAGACCAAAGGTCTGGTGGAAAGACATGGCAAGGTTCATGTGAAGTCTCCATTGCTTTTGCTACATGTGCCTGTCTTTGGACTACAGTTTGAGCTTGGATTACAACTCACTTCAGTCTATGTCTGTCAAAAACATCTATGTATTGCTTTTAACTCTGTATTAACCAAATGTCAACTAGTGTGAAAGTGAGCCTGCTAGATGTTTTATTTAAAGTTCGTAGTGCAATTTATTGTGTTTGTTAATAAACTATATTTTTGGATAAGAGTTGGAGTCCATTGAAGTTGACTAAACTTTGGCTCCGGAGGCCGCTAAGCTATGTTAGCATGTAGTGTATAATTTTTTATTCCAGGTCATTTGCATTGACTTAATTAACTGCCAAGTCTTCTATCCCAGCACAGGGAGTGAGGAGGAGGAGGAGGAGGAGGAAACTTTTCAAAATACTTTCGCTAAGTTCAAAATACTGCTTTAATTCACTTAATTGCTCTGTCTCCAACAGATCATGTAGCTTGCCAGATACTGTGTAATATGAACAAACCTCATGTGGAAGCATTACTTCACACCTTTCTGTGGATGAAAAGAAGAATAATTTTCAATAGGGCAGTATTATGGGTCACCCTAGTAGTCCATAGATGTGGCTATGGTTCCATAAGCAGCATTCAGCAGACTTTTTTGCCCATCCAACAGTTATCACTGGGACAAGGCTGCCAAGAATAAGCAGATTGGTCTCTGAATTAGTGTACATGTTATTAGAACAACACTAGTTCATTTTCTTAAGTGAGACCCTGAATTAGACAAGATGACTCTGAATTAACTTACAGCGATGTCTTGAAGGTGTTAGAAACCATTCAGATTTCCCTTGTCCTTTTTTGCAAGTAAATTTACCGTGATTTGTCCTTGTAGTCTTTTAAAAATGACAACTAAATTTTCCTACAATTTTGCAAGGTAAGTGAGCTCCTTTATTTGTATTCTGCTGGGAGGATGATGCAAGTCCCTTAAGTGAGACTAGGCAGGGAGAACAAACCCTTAACCTATAACTCTTGCCATGCACTGGTCTGTCCTTTATGAATTAAAAAACAAAGGAGAGAATTTAACATCCTTTTCCTTTGCAATTAAAAGTGGCTGACATAAATGCAAGCTCAGTGGAAACTTCTGTGGCTGAATAATGCTACTGTATGCAGGAAATGAGAAAAGGCGAGGATCTCGCTTGGAAAGTCTCTGGCTGTTTTGTGACTTCTAAGCCAAGGTTTAGGGCTGTTCTGTGTGATGACATCAGTCTCGGGGCTTGAGAGCCCAAGTGAACCACAGTGACTGTCCTGCAGCTTTGGTGTTCACATAATGTGACAGGAGAGGCCTTGGCCTTTTTCTTCTCCATTGAGGAGTCCTGTCCATGTTCCATAGAAGCAGCTCAGGCGCTTCCTTTAGGAGTAGCCATTTACAACTATCAGTAGCAGGTCTGCTACTTCAACAAGAGAGCAAGGGTTGGCCAGTTGAAATAGGCACTGTCTTAACTTTTGGTAGTTTTAGTTAATAAAAATCCTAATAGCATGGATTTTCAAGACCCGTTACGTTCTTCAGGTGTCTCCCAGTCCTCAGTAGAAAGTCTTGATGCATTTTTGAGAGGTCTCAAGTCTCAAAGATGGAAGCAATTTTGTTGTTGGAGATGAAGTTATTTGACCTTCTGATGATGCTTTCCAGGTGGCAATCAAGGTCTACTTTCTTGGGAGTCCTGATAATATGTTGTTTATTCATGAGGAATATAAATGTTGACTGGCTCTCTGTGTCAAAGAAAGCTGCCAGTTGTGGATGGCTGTTCTGTTTCTAAATGCGACTATAGGCACTGCAATATAAAATGCAATATGCAGTTAGTATCGATCTGGTACTATGAATGTTATGTGAAATTGCTTTCGTAATAGCAAGTGAAGCTGTTATAATAAGAACGCCCAAATGCCTTGCTAAATTCCACTGTGGTGCAGATAAGGTCCACTGGAAGGCTAAATGTGAACAATAACAGCACAGTCTTTTCCAGATGGATCCTGAAGAGTCTGTGCTAATCTTACCACCACAAAGTAACAAAAAGGTACATTTCTGGCACTGTGTTGTCTGTAGGATGTTTAGGAAGAATTTACTTCTGCTTGCCCCCTTTTGCTGTATTTATACCTAGCTGTGTGCTGTTTGGTGTGATGAATCCCTGACAAAGGTCGTTACCACAATTTTGGGAGCAGGTAGTTATTGGAAAGTGTGATCCAAGGAATACAATGGTGGCATTGACTTCTTTGTGATGCTTTTTTGGTTAGATAATCAAAAACTGTTAATTCGGTAATGTAAAATACTCTGGATGAATCTGTGAAGAACATGTAAAACTGCCTGGGAAGCAGCCTTCATTTCTTTCCTTCCAGCTGGAAGGAGTGAGCTGGTAGAGCTAGACAGTGGTCTGCCCTGATGCTGGAGCTTTTCAGCTCTGTCGTTTACATCATCAGTGAAAGAATTAAGTGTATTTATTTATTAAATGTGCAGGTGACACTAAGCCAATTGTGACTACCTTGCCTGAGCGAGACTAGAATGCAATATAATCTTCATAAATTTGGGAAATGATCTGAAGATACTGTGAACATTGTGTGGATCTTATGAAAAATATGTTTAAAAACTTAACCGCTATTTTTCTTTGTGTTGGTTTGGATTTTTTTTTTCTTCTCCTGGAGACAAGTATTGACTAATGGTGGTAGGAAATGTGCCTCATTCTGATTCTGTTGATTGACTCTCTGGCTCCTGTAACTCCACTCTTGTGGCTATTATTATTAATCTTAGTATGTTTTCTTTATGCTTAGAGTTCTAATAATTGATTTTTATTGTTAAAGTAATTAGAAGAATTAAGCTTGAATAATCTGGGATCAGTTTCTGATAATTGTGATTGCTTTGCTGGCACTGAAATTTCGAGACAGTGTGAGCCTGGACTTGAATTTGGCTGCCTTTACTTTTGTCCTGACTCTGCTGGCTCTCTTAATTTGATTTTGTAAAAAGCCAAAGTCAATGTAGACGATACATGAAGAGAAGAATTACCAGGAAAAACGATTTGATTTTCTTCAGAAAGTCTAGCTTCAAAGAGGGCTGGCAAGGTCTCCCATATGAATTCTAGGTAAGTACTCCTTTGAAAATAGGATRAAAAGCGGTGAGTCTACACAGTGGAGAAGCCCACATTTGTGATACACTAGAGATTTTCTTTGTGTTGTTTTGTTTTATTTTTGGGACGGCAAATAAGTGGGACTTTTTTTTCCATATATTCCCTTTACTCTTCTGTATCTTTCTTTCTCTCATAAGAATGTAGCAACTGCTGCAATAGGAAGTCAGTATCTTACGTCTTYGCAGGGTTGAGGTCTAAGGATTGATTTCATACTTCTACTCGGCTTATTACGTTTATATTTCATTAACACCTACTTTTGTTTTTCTTCCTGTATAGTCTAAAACAACAGTCCTTCTTATTCTCAGTCCTCACTAAGAACAATGTTCCATTACAGTCGGTACACAAACTCTGGCTGTGGACTGCAGTTCACCGATGGTAGATGAGAATGAGAAAAGTTTCATCAGGTGAGAGCACATCATTTTACAGAGATATGATTATGTAAATCATAAACACGCAGTCTGTTCCAGCTGCAGGTCAGTAGAGGATATCCAATTTATTTAATTAAGTCAGTGCCTTTATCGCATTTTTAGATTTAGCAGTATCTAATCCAGTGCTTCCACTGTCAAATCCGGGTTCCAAGTTCTTCTATTCTCTCTGATTCCTATGAGGATAGGAGGTTTGAGTTTTGGATTGAAAATACTCCCTAAATATCTCCTTTTATTCCTTTCCTCAAGGAACCTTAAATGGTGTAGAGACTCATTCCTCTTTGGTAGAAATTTCTCTGCAGGTCAGGGCTGCCATGGTACCCCTCCTTCCATGGCAGTGCCTAGCACATGGGACAGTCCGTGGCAACATCCTAGTCCATCCATGGCCCCGAGCTGTCGACATTGGGAATATTCATCCCAATCCCTCTCCTGGAAGCATTATCATGAGGTGTGAATGGGCGTGCAGGGACTAGTGCTTTACTCACTAGGGAGCTCAGCAAGGTTTATCCAGGGGGATCAGGTGTGTCATGCAGCAAGAAGCAGCACGAGGCAGAAGGAGTATCTGCAACTTCTTTTCCAGGCAGGAGCCTAGGACCTTAGCGGTGGGTTTAACTATTCTTGCATAATTTTATATTCAGGAGTAAGAGCATCCACATAAATGTGCCTTGTTTTGAATAAATACATGCACATACCCAGAATTTACATCTTTTTTTTTTAGCTGTTACAAAGAAATGGTTATTTTTTTGTAAATATATACCCTTCTCTTCTGGATTGTATCTAGCAAAACCCTTATTCATTTAATGGGACCTCGTTTATTGTTTAAAATTCTTTTCTTTGGGAAGTATSTGGTTGGAAAATGAGAATTTTACTTGCAAGAAAAGACATTGAGGAGAAGAATCTAAAAATTCTGAAAACATTTGATTGGGAAACACAGCTTTGTAAAGGTTACATGTCAGATCATATTCTACTGTTTTCCCCTAAAACATCTGTCATTTGATGCTTCGAAAGTTTTATTCTGAATTTGTTTCAAATTTAGAAATGCAGTCTTGATACRTGGCTTGGTTGGAATAGCAACATTTTCTGCAATTAAAAAGGCCTTTTATGTCTCAGTGGTCCCATTTTCTGGGCTGGCTGGAGTGCCTTGGACTGCTCTGCCCAAGTGTCAAGGTAAGAAGCTGCATTCAGAAGTAGCTTTTTTTCCTGCAGCCCTGGCTGTGGCTTGTGTTCCCTGGAGGCCGTGCAAGCCCCAGGGACTCAGCAATGCATTTTCTTGTCTCCGTGGTGCGGCTGGCAGSGAAGGGCCTGGCGAGGAGGTGTTCTCCTCTCTGCCCTTTCCCCTGCTCGCTCTCCGAAGCGCCTGTCGCGCTGCACCGCAG